CACATTAAGTAATTCAACTACATAGTTCAATATTATAGTATCAAATGAGAGTAAACATTTATAAAAATAATATTAAACTTGCATAACAATATAATTTCATATTATATCACATGATTAATTATATCACATAATTAATTTAAGAAAAAAGATTTGTGGCTCATTCTCCAATAAACATACTAGAAAATTAGGACCAAAAGATGTAGACGTTCTAGCCTACAAGAAAATGATATGCACTGATGTTATAACCTATCAAAGGTTTTATGTAACGATTCACTCCATCACATAGTATGATATTGTCCACTTTGGAATTAAGCCCGCACGATTTTGTTATTGGGTTTTATCTCAAAAGGCCTCGTACCAATTAGAGATAACACCACTACATAAAATCACTTTACCTTTCCCTTATGTAGGTGGTGTGGGACTGTGCACCTGTAACTTGCTCAATGTGATAATATGTCAGTGCCTCTTACACCCGCCCACGGCACACCCACCCACAAGGTTGCCACATTATAGGTCTCACTTTAACTTTCTTAGGAGAAAGTACAACCTTAGTTAGACACCCCCACATTTTTAAGAATTTATAGAAAGGTTTTCGACTTTTCCATAATTCATATGGTGTCACATTCGTTTTCTTTAGAGGTATTTTATTGAGTAAAATAATTTGTAGCAAGCAAAACTTCCCTCCACAAATTCTGAGTTAAACCAGAACTTATCAATATAGCATTCATAATTTCTTCGTGAATGATACCATATTCTAAACAAAGATCAGCACATGATGTTTTGTATTCACAAATTCTCAACCTCACTTTTGTAATATTTAAACATTTCTAAGGTTTATCTTTGCTTTGTAGCAAATATACATAACAGTATTTTGTGTAACTATTGATAAAAGTAACGAAGTACCTTTTTTCACCTCTAGTTGGCACATGTTTAAGGTAATGTCATATACTTCATAATATCATATTACAAAATTAAAATAATTCAACCAATATTGAATTATATATATATATATAAATAATTCAATAGTCTACTTATATAACATGCTTCAATTTCATATAATATTGAACACATCAATATTTAGCATATTACCGTATAATAATGTATAAAATATTATTTTATTATATCTCAACTATTAGGATGATATCTACTTATTTATATCTTAAATAGAAGTATATAATAAAATCTACGCAAGGAATGATCTGTCTTAAGATTGTTGGTAAAATATATGTTTCATGTGACATTTAAGATATAACAAATCTTATACTAATATGTCATGAGATAATTAACAATATGCTAAGAAATTATTAGTTAAATATGCAACTCTATATTTAATTAAATATGCAAAATAAATTAATAAAATCATAATAATCAATAAAGAACCTGGACCGAGGCTAGTATTGGATACTATGTCCTTAAGACAGATTCGCCCCGTTATGGTGCTAACGGATTCAGTGGCGTCTATCTCCCAGGATACAACAGTTTACATCCACCAGTAGCAGCAATACAAACTCGTGGATACGACGAACCTTCTTTGTGTAATACTCTCTTTGACTCAAAAATGCATCTATACTATATAAATGCTGAATTGGGTGCAATCCGAATCAAATGGTTCGGACCAATCTTAATATGGCTCAATGAAATTGGATTAGGGTCTAAGTGGTTCGGACCACTTAACCTATGGTTTGAACCCACTTGGGTTGGATTCAAGTCTAGAGAGGGAGATAGAAGAAAATAAAATAAATGAACAACTTGCAAATGATCCAAAATGAGGTATTTATAGAAACAGAAATGCCTTTTCGGATTGGGTGTATCTCTTCATTATTGGACACAACCATTGTAATAGGTTTCAATGGTTCATATGGTGTCTGTTCACCACTAGACACATCTATTCCAATATGTTGCAGTGGTTCACATGGTGTCTGTTCACCAATAGACACATCCATTCTAATAGGTTGCAATGTGCATTTTAAAGTGGGTGCAACCATGTTTTATGATGGTTCGGAAAAAGGTGTAACCTTTTAAAAAAACTAAAAAATAGTTTTTTTTTTTAATTTAAAAGGTGTAACCGTTTAGAAAAACTAAAATATGGTTTTTTAATTTAAAAAGTGTAACCTTTTAGAAAAACTAAAAAGTAGTTTTTTTTTTTTTAATTCAAAAAACCAACCACCCAAAAAACACACCCATTTGTGAAACCCATTTAAATAAGCCCAGCCTAAAATTAGGCCTAATCCAAAATTCCAAAAAAGAATAATCTGGACTTTACAATTAGGCCCAAGCCCAAGCCCAAATCCTAAACTCAGCTTATTTAAATTTCAATTTGTTTCAACATTTTTTTCATGTGAGACAAACACTTCCCACATTTTGCATACCCATTTAAGCTTATCAAAACACCACACTTTGGAGTTAATTTCTCATTCACCCGGAAACGGATTTGAGAAAGTAAATATACCACATTCATCTCCTTACGGAGAGAAAAGCGCTCGTCTAGAGATCCGCAAAAAATTATTAGCGGAATCTATTCCAAATCTCATCCAAAGTTCATGTTTTTAATGCCCCCGTTTCTAACAACCAACGCACTGGTAAAGCAGAGGGAATAAGAATAGACTGATAGGAATCATGAGTATTTTTTGAATGAACCCCATAAAACTCCCAAAACTGCCCAACAACAACTTCAATGATCCCTTGGCCAGACCAACCAGCTCTACCAAACACAGAATCGTTGCGAGACTTCCATAAATACCTCATAACAAACCGTAAATAAAGTACAACGAATCCTAATATGGGCTCTAAGTTTTAAGAGACGCAACGCGGAAGTCATATAACGAAAGACACTCCTAAGGACACTTGAACCCGGAGTGCTCTGATACCAACTGTGATACCCTCGAATTTCCGAATGCGGGTTGGCCAGGCCCATGCCCGAATACCCAAGAATATCAAAACAAATTGATGATAAAAGAACACAGAGTACAAAAGAATAAAGAAGAATAAATAAAATACTGACAAGAAACTAAAATGATAATTTAATAATAAACTTCATAATATATTTTTATTAATTAATAAACTCTTCTGATACAACTGATCTTCCAAAATAACATAAGTTTGCAGCTATTCCAATTAAAATATTATTGTCTTTCAATCCATCCCACGAATGGATTAAATTCATCCACCATTTGCCCCCATGTACTACCCCCAACTGAAGATACATCAATCCAACTAAAGATACATTAATTCGTAACAGAGAACCTTCCAAACTAACTTTGCTTATGGACAATCGTACAATAAGTGTTTTAAAGTCTCTATTTTAACAAACTTACCCATTCTTTTCATTATTCATTATCATTAACTATAATTAAAATGAAATGACAAAACTAGACCCTTTACTAAATAAAAAAAGAAAGAAAGAATTTGGCTACCCCTTGCCTTTTTTATTTTCTACCGTCTCTATTCTCACGGGAAGGAAGCAGCGAGAAAATTCGTTGTAAAGAATTTAATCTAACACAAATTTTATATAGATTAAAGGTTATGAGAAACCATGACAACAATTGGTTTTGCAATCCATCCAATTGCTAAAGCTACGGAGGGCTAGTATTCGTCCTAGATAATTTTTATATTTTCATCTTGTATTAATAAAAAAATTTAAACTGCCCCACACTTGCCCTCGCCTAATTCTTTTTATATTTTCATTTTGTATGTATTAAAATTATAAAACTATTCGTTGTTTATGATTTCTAAAATTTTAATCAACCTATCTTTTCAGTAACATTCTTTTGTCATATTCTTTTATTCTTTTTTTTTTTTTTCTTTTTTTTTTTTTTCTATACAAATTTTCTGATTGCTTAAAGTCTTAGCAAAGAATTTTCTGCAAATTTATGGGAACTCCTCCCCATGAGAATGGAGATCGGGAAAAATAAAATTTTGATGAAATCTTAACTCATTTACCAAATTCTTTGAGTAATTGAGGGAAATGAGGAACAATTGAGTTGCAAATTCTTTCATTTTTGTTTCCTTAAATGAAGGGTGTAGTTTTGTTATTTCATTTTAATTGTATTTAATGGTAATAAAAAAAAAAATGGTAAGTTTCTTCAAATAGGGAAAAGAATGGCTGATTAAATTATTGTAGTAGGATTTGATCCAAAGGCTATAATTAAAAGTGAGTATACTTTTTCATACTGAGTTTTTTTTTTTTTTTTTTACAAGGCAAGAAGGATTAGATGTTAAATTAGTAGGTGTAAAGAGTCGAAACCTGGCACTCCCAAAATCCACCGGAGGCACTGGAAAAAAAAATTATAAGACTTTTTTCTTATTTTCAAATATTTTTACTACTTTTTAAATTATAATTGACATATAAAAATAATATTTAATAGCGAATTTAAAGGTGATATATCTACATATATTTGTATTTATCTATATCTAAATCTATATCTTTTTCTTATTTCTAAATATTTATATAATATTTAAAAAAAAATTATAATGTGACATTTAAATATAAAAGATATATACACTATCATAACAACTAGACCCTAGTGTTACCGAGAAAGAATTGCAACGATTAATCTGATAATTATCTGAGAAGATTCATTACCAATTGTACGGCATTTAAATCTAAATCTATATATGTATATATTTTTTCCTTATCTCTAAATTTTTTTTTTTTTTTTTTAAAATCATAATGCAACATTTAAATCTATATCTCTCTCTATATATATCTATATCTTTTCCTTAAATCTAAATTTTTTTACTATATATATATTTTAAAATTATAATGTGACATATATCTATATTTATCTTTATGTAATATGGGTATATTAATAGTTATTTAATATCTTTGGTCAAAGTCAACACTGACTTGGGAGGTCAGTGTTATATTTAAAATCATATAGGAGGTCTTTGTAATTTAGGCCATCTGCCAGGAGGGCAAGTGTAATTATCCCATTTAAGTATTGCAACGACACCGTTTTAAAATGGATTCCAAACAACAAATCCTGCAATGTGCAACTGGAAAGACGATTGAACGGTGAGTGGGTGGGGCAGTGCTTACTCCAATTTTTGGGTGCACGCAATCTGTGAAGAAATCTGCAGTCCGTACGCATCCTTACAAAATTATTTTTGCAAATAAAACAATATTTCGTTCTCTCCCCAATCCAGCGTCTCAAATCGATCTTCTCTGTCCCCATCTACTATTATTCGTCTTTTTCTCTCTCTCCAAAACTTGATTTTCATCGATTAAACCACAGTTGAATCTGTAGCTGTGATGGGTTGGATCCCCGAATTGGTCACGCAGCAGTTCCATCTCTCGATCTCCTGAAATTAGGGTTTGCCTTTGGTTTGTATTCGATTCTGTTCTGCCAGTTGTGTTTTATTCTCTACGATTTGTTTTGCGAAGGTGGATTTTGAACTTCGAAATCATAGATTCGGATTTGAATTTGTGGTAGTTTTAGAAGAATTGGGTTCTGGTGAAACAAACCCTATGTTTTGATTCGTTTGGAGAATTTGAAATCACAGTGACAACAATTGAGTCTATTTGGGGAATCAGAAAGTTGGGTTTTTTTAGCGAAGAGGTTAAGAGTCATGTTTTATGGTGCAGTGGTATGGGATCCATGGCTCATTGTTGCCCAAATTGTTTGCTTTCAATGCTTATACTACTTAACACTTGGAGTTTTCATGGCAATTCTTGTGGGGACTCGTGTGTCACGAATGAGTCTTGTGTATTTCTTTGATTATGCCACTGTCACTGCTTCTACAGCAACCGGTTGGTGCGTCATTGTTTCATTTCTGCTCAGCGCTCTTGCAGGGTGAGACTCTTTTTCTTTTCATTTTATTTTTGTACTTTTTATTAATTTAAGGGGATTCAGAGGTTTATATGCTAGTTTGTTAGATTAATACTTTTACCTTGTATGAATTACTTCTATATGTGTTTATGATACTTGAACAATACATGCTATGAGTGCTTGATTTTTTACTGCTTTCAGTGCTTGATTTTTTAAGTTTATGCATTTCCCAGGACTTTGCGAATCTTAAAAACCTAAGAACTTGGTTTTCTTGCTCTTATATTTCTCTTTCCTTTAAAATCTAAGCACTGATCTATACAATTTTGGATTGTCTCGGCTTTTAATGTTTATATTGGGTTTCATTAATCATCATCTCAGTTCTGTCAATGGCGTAAAAGGAATCTCAAGTGTAGTAACATGCATGACATGCATAGTTTCCATATGTATTTTGCAATGTATTTTAAGCTGTGATTTGTTTCCCTTATCATCGATGTCAGAATCAAGAAATTAGGTTTTTACAAATGGTAGAGATTTCCAGAAAGAATAAGTTTATATATATATATATATATATATATATATATATATATATACTGATTCTATACTCACCCTCTAGGTCCAGCTAAAACTCCCACTCTGTATTTTAGGAACATAAAATGAGCATGATGTGAAAAAGCCATTTGCATGCAAGGTAGCCGACTAACTCATTCGGACTTTCAGTCATACTTTTAGCAATTTTCATTGTAAAATACATGGTGAAATTTACATTTATGGGCTTTTTAACATAATTTGGCTTGACCAAGCCTCATTGGGCTAGTAAGCACGGATATTTCTCCTAGGGTTGCTGTGGCGGTGTCGGACACTCGTGGGACACAACCTGAACATGTGTCTGACACAGCTAGAAGTGTTTTCATTATTTTGTTCTTCTTCTTCTTTTTTTGGTTGGACACGGCTTGGGACACGTTTGGGACAATTTCAGGACACGGCAGGGTAGAAAGAATCATTATCTGAAGGAAACTCTGTCACCCTCTCCAACATTGAAAGGAGTCCACCATAGACCCAGATATATTTTTACTCAATGCAGAAAAAAGAATAAAATACACCAAATCTCCTCTAAAAGAGCTGCGTGATAAAAAAAAATTATTGTACTATCACATGCTATTTTGGCACATGCAACACGTCACCAGGGCCGGCTCGAGCCTTAGGCGACTTAGGCGGTCGCCTAAGGCCCCAGCCAATAGGAATGCCTCAAAATTTTAAAATTTCCTTATATTAAGTTATACTATAATTATTTCCTAATATTGTTAAACTCTAATAAATATAAAAAATTTATATTAGGCCTCAAAGATTTATATCCTAAAATAACTTTTATGTCTCTCCCCACTCGTTTCAATTTTATATTAGGCCTCAAATATTTATATTCTAAAATAACTTCTTTTTTCTCTTTTCTCTCTCTCTCTCTCATTCCGATTTTATATTAGGCCTCAAATATTTATATCATAAAATAACTTTTTTTTTCTCTCTTTTGTCTCTCCTCCATTATATGACTTTTTTTCCCTCTCTTTTTCTACTCTTATTCACGTTTTACAATAAATCCTAACTAATATAGAAATTTAATATTAGGCCCAAAAGTCTTTCTCTCTCTCTCTCTCTCTTATTCACGTTTTTTACGTCAGCACTAAAAACATTTTTGGGTAAGTTACACCAATTCTAAAATATTAAACATCTATTTAACGTTGTTGTTTGGAAAAATGGTGAAAACTTTCCATATTTTTTTATTTTTTTATTTTTATTTTATGTTTTATCTTCTTCTTTTCAACAAGTCTTCTTCTCCCACTCTCATTACAAGTTTACAGCAGTTATGAACGCATTTTTATTCTATTGAAAAAATTGTAGAAGTAGTGGGTTTTCTAAATCAGGTTCAATGGTTCTTTTTCTTTAATTATTTTTTTAATTTTATTAACTTTTGTTATTATAAATTTATGTGTATATATATTTGTATATTTTGTTTTTGAGTTGTGACTAATTTTATTTATGTTATTGAAGAAGCCACTTTTTATTTTTCGCCCAAGGCCCCAAATTAGATTGAGCCGCCCCTGCACGTGACCATTCAATGACCTCTATAGTTCAAATTTTGAATGTTGAGAGTAGCTTTTAAGGAGGACAACCAAGCTAACAATGACGCATTAGGTGGAGCCTTTGTACTCCATATGCCCCTCCTAAGTAAATCCACCATATTAACTCTTTGAAAAACCTAATAAAATGACAAGCATTGAAGGCACTGCGGTTGCCATTTCTCCAGTAATTATGTCCAGTGCCATGCACTTGAGACTCCCGAAGTAACTCCAACATTGTAGTAACCAATTCCACCTCCCACTGTTGAAGAGTTGTCTTTAGTGTGGTGCTCCAAACCACTCCATTGTCTCAGAAGGAAGCAAAATCTGTCACGATGACTTTTATATCTGTCACATTCCGAAAGAGCTATGCAATCTTTCTTTCATGGTTACCTCCTCACCCCAGGCCTTGTGCCAAAATATGTTCCTCGTTCCATTCCCCATTGCGTAGAAAATATGTCAGGTAAATCCCCCACAATCCACCACCATTTACCATATTTCCAGTACACTATTCACTGCCAAAAAATATCTTTTCCAATGATATCTTTATGTATGCTTTCCTGGAAGATCCTGGTTAAAGTGTTGAACACCTTGAGATTCTTGATAACCTTTCTTTCCCTTAACCTTATGACACAATCTTTTCCAATCCAAGAGGTGATACTTTCTTCCCTGAGCCCTCATATTAAGTCTCTGGCCAGTCTCTTCCCTGCTGATGTTGGAATACTGAAGAGAACATGTATGTAGCAAGTTCAAAATTTTGCTTTGATAAGCATAAGTCTACCCATGCGTAAAGTCCTCACTACTCACACCCTTAACCCTTTGAAGGTTAGTTCCTTTCAGATTATGCCATACATTTTGAAGTCTTTTATTATGTGTCAGTGATCAAGTTGGATACTGAAAGGCAACATCATTGTTTAGACTTTATACATTTTTAATCTCTTTTGAGAACACACTGAAAGCATGGACTAAGGTTTATTTGAAGGTCTTACCAAGGCCTTGGATGCAAATGAGCTTTTGCATGTCAATAATAAGCGTGTGGGTTGCACTTCTGATAAAAGCACCTTACTGGGCGAGATCATCATGCATATGTGAATCTGGCATCGTATCTCAAGAGCATAAATATCATATTTTTATGTGTATATACTAATTTCTGATGCTGAATTTGTTATAGAGAGAATATTTAGTCTTAAGAGCAATTGTAATGAAACTTCTTAAAGTCTGCACAATTATATACTTGTTAACTTGCACAATTTTTATGGATGAGCAGATCTGGCTATATGCTTTATTTGATTGAGAGGGCAAAGAAGTGCTTAGATTTCTCAGCCACCCTCTACATCATCCACCTCTTTTTATGCATCATATATGGAGGTTGGCCTTCGTCAATAACATGGTGGGTTGTGAATGTTATTGGACTTGCAGTGATGGCTTTGTTAGGTGAATATCTGTGCATCAAACGGGAACTGCGGGAAATTCCCATAGCAAGATACCGTTCAAGTAAGCTGCCTTTTCTTTTTCTTACAGAGACCATCTATTGGAGCTAGCTCTCTCTCACCTTACTCTTTTTTATCTTGTAGTTATTAATTTGTAAATATTTTGTTTTCTAAGTGTTTGTTGCATAGTTTGTTATTGAATTCCGGTTGCCTCTTTAGCGTGTATCATTAGCACGAATGTTTTTAATGTGGCCTGCTTTATATCAATTCTAATTACTGAAGTTTTAACTTTTCATCTGTTGTTTATCATGCTAGTTTTGTGCTTATTTGTCTTCTCTGTTGGTTTTGCACGTCAAATTGTGTGTTATGCTCTCTCTTGTTTTATGCTTGATGTTTGCACTCGGACTTGCTATAATTTGTTCCAAATTGTTTTATGATCAGTTTTCTTTTCCTTTTTTTTTTTTTTTTTTTTTCCAGATGGGCACTTACTTTCATTTCTTTATTTTTAGTTAATTTTCATTTAGATGTCTTTGTAAGATAAGGACTGTCCCGTTCTCAATGTTGTAATTGTATCAGCATGCCCATTTTATGTGGAATATCTCATGAAGTTGAAACTGTGTGTTTTAGCATTTTTTTCCCAACATTTAAAGGGTATGAATGCCAGAGACAGCATAATTTGAACTTTTTTATGTTTTGGACATCTCTTAGTGCCGGGGTGATACCTTTCCATTGTTGGTTAGGCATCGCTGTTGATTATGTTCTCATAGAAGTAAAATTCATGTTACAATACTGAAGTCTCAACTTTTTGTCTGTTGTTTGTCATGCTAGTTTTGTCCTTATTTGTCTTCTCCGTTGGGTTTGCACGTCAAATTGTACGTTATGCTCTCTCTTGTTTTATGCTTGATGTTTGCACTTGGACTTTCTATAATTTGTTCCAAATTGTATATGTCTTTTATGATGAGTTTTCTTTTGCTTTTTTTCCAGCTGGGCACTTACTTTCATTTCTTTGTTTTTAGTTAATTTTCATTTAGATGCCTTTTTAAGATATGGACTGTCCCGGTCTCAATGTTGTAATTGTATCAGCATGCCCATTTTATGTGGAATATCTCTTGAAGTTGAAACTGTGTGATTTAGCATTTTTTTTCCCCAAAATTTAAAGGGTATGAATGCCAGAGGCAGCATATTTTGAACTTTTTTATGTTTTGGACATCTCTTAGTGCCGGGGTGATACCTTTCTATTGTTGGTTAGGCATCGCTGTTGATTATGTTCTCATAGAAGTAAAATTCATGTTACAATAAGTTATATAAAAGTTTTTTTTTTTTTTCCCTTCCAGGCTTCCAACATGGTATAATGCGAGTATTTCTGCATATATCATGAATAGTGGTATTATTTCCATTTGGTTTATAACCAGGTCACCTGAGAAAAGTATTTGTGCTGTATAAGTTTGAACAATTTAGTATGTTATAGCTAAAACATGAAGAATGTGTATATGTGGTTTGAGGCATTGTGATGAGGGGAAAAAGGGATGATAGGATGGAAAGAGCAAATAAACAAAATCAAAAGAGAAGGCAGAAATAGTGAAATGATGTATACAGCCTTTAGCTAACGAGTATAATCCTGAACGCCCTCCTAAAGATACTCATCCCTTATTTAATGGGTATAATCCGAAACACTTTCTTAGAAATACTCATATACTCATTGTGTAGTCTTTTGTTTTCATTGATACATCATAGTTTTTCTTTTTCTTTCACTTATAGTGATTACCAATTATTTTTTAGTGGATCAAACTTTCTTAAGAGTATTGCATGAATGCCAGAACTTTCTAAGAACCAGTAATTGAGAAAAATTAAGTTACTAATTTCCAAAATTAAATATCGGATTGAAATTTGACTATGTAGGCTCCTCTGTAAAACTTTATTAACCTGGCCAAACATTTGATCAGCTTTGATGGTGCCACTCTTCAATGCTCTCGTAGTAGTGACATGGCACTGATATGGCTGTGTGGCACTAACTGCAGTCCTGTGGTTGGTGCACTAGCCCTAGGGTTTGTCTCTAAAGCACCATGGTAACCTTTAAAATGCTTGTTACTTGAAATCAAATCTTACTTACGTCGTCCAGGAGTAACTTTCGCAAATTGTAATGGGTGTTATCCAGAAAAAACTGCCTCGTGCACATATTGTATTGGTTGTAGTTGGTAACGAGAGTTCAGCTTATTCCATGCTTCATTTCTACATATGAGCATTGAATTTTAAGAACCTCAGAAGATATGGAGAATACGTAATTCGAAAATATGCATTGAGGCAAAGTCTTTAGAGATTGGGAACCACAACGAATCACTGGACTTGTAACCTTCCCAATTATTGGATTTTGTTCAAAATCACCTCAGTAATTGTCAGTACTCAGCTTTTGCATGTCCAGTATCAATATTTTCTGTACCGCAATTGAGTTTATTCCATCCTCACTTAATTGTTATACAAATTCTAATAACGTTCCATGCTACTAGATGCTCTGGTTTTTATTGGCATTTACACATAATTTACTGTTGTAACTTTATTGTGTCCATTCTACAAAATTAATGCACAGCTGAAGGGGCTCCACAAAGTTTTGCTTGTTGCCATGGTATATGCTGTGTAGAGTTGAGAACTAAATTAAATTTAGGTGGTGGTGTCGAAGTAAGGCTTTATGTGGTGTCATCTCTCAAAAAGATCAATATCTATCTGCAATTCTTTTTATAAACTTACATAGCAAATGAACCATTCTTACATGATTTCATACTGCCAGTATAAAGTTCCCACTTTTGACCGAAGTAGATGAGTTTTACTTCTTGCATTTTGTTATTTTATATTTGTATGTATGTACTGTTGGTTCTTATTTTGGTAACAGTGTAGGAGCTCATGTGTTCACGAATCTACATTTTTGGATTCTTTTGTTATATCTCTCTTCGGCTGGGAGACTTTATCTACTCTTTGAAAAATATATGGTTTCCAATAAAGGTCTCCTTTAATTACTTTTGAGGCTGTGCAATGTTTTGGGTGGTCTTTTGTGTACTTAAAAAGCTTTGCTGATTGGAATGCAATTAGTATAATGGGCTAAATATCAGTAGCCCTAAAAAATTACATGAGCAATTTTTTTATCAGCTACTATGTGAGCATAATTAATTCCAGGGTATTCCATGCAGATGTCTAACGGATCAGAGAAACTCAACAGGCAAGAAGAAAATCTCTTACAGGCTAAAAATGGTGGCTTATTCTTTGCTTTGGAGGAGGTCCTGGATAAAGATCATGAAATACTGAATTTGATATTTCAAATTTTCAAGTACAAAGGGCTACAAGAAGCCTTTTATGTAATTGATTTTCGGTGTTTGAGGTGAGGACAGGACACAACAAACAATTTAAAGAATCTTTAAAGATGGGAAAGTGGAAGACATGACTCGGTAACAAATTAAATTGTGAAGGGTCCCTGCATGTATAATTTTGGTAGTTTTGAAAGAGATGATGATTAATGAGCTGATGATATTTTTTTCCAGAAACCTAATGAGTCTCTGTCTGGTAGTCTGGTTCGGCATTTTAAGCTCTCATATCATTTGGTTGAGCACTCAGATTTGCATGTGAAAATGGCTATCTTTGTTGATTGTGTTCTATAAATTTTTTAATAGGCTGGTTGAAGTTATTTCATGCTTTCTTAGTCTTGTTGTTTGGTTTCTTCTCCACCATGCCTCAACTTCTTTTCCAAACTTCAATATTATTAGGCTTGGTCAAGTTTACTCGAGAATAATCATACCCACCGGCCATTCTACCCACACCGTCGTGGTGTTTTAGCATGGAGGAAAAGAAAAGAAATGCTTACTCATTTGTGGGGTTGCCAGGCTCACAACGACCTCAAGAGTTTAATATTATAATTTTTCGTCCGCTGAAGGATTGAGTAGACGAGCGAAAACCAGTTTTCTGAACATTGGGTTTTTATACTATGGAATGGGTCCTCTAGGAAGTCCTCCTCAGGTTAGCAAGCAGACTTGTATTTGGGAGGATGTCATGGGTGAGTGATGGTGGCACAAGCTCTATATAGATTTTGGGGTGTCATGGCCTGCAACTTTATTAGCATCCTCTCGGCTTACGTCCCAGCTAACCCTAACGGGTAAAGTTTTAAGGCAGTTGAGGTTCGGAGGGCTTACTTCTCCAGCCTTGGCACCCCCCCACTTGTACAAGTCCTCCTAAACAGGTACATGAGACTACCAGTTGCAGGTAGAGACAGGGAGCAAGATATAATAGACCCAAGTGCCTAAGACACTGCAAATCCGAATCATGTCGCAACATACATATCCGAGTCCTGTTCTGTAGTATCGTGTATGCTTAGTTCAAATTACTCAACTAGAGGGAGGTGATGCAATAACTAACACGCACAAACACACACAGCTCCTCTAACCAAGATCTTAAAGCATCTCATCTTGTGCGTACAAGATCCAACAAGCACCATCAAGTTCAACTATGCTAAATTCAGCGTGATTCGATTGGTTTAGACTTGGACAGTTTGGTTTAATCTTGTTTCTCAGATGTACAGAACAATTTTTCGTGACTCCCAAACCAAAAGCAGGTTTTGAAAAGTCATTCCACATAGGCCCGAATCTCTTCTTAGAAGATTTTAGCATTCATTGGTTTACGAAACAGTAGGTGAATGTTTTGTTGCCTAAGAACATCTCGCAAAGAGTGAAAAAGAAAAAGAAAATAAAAAGAAATTCTCTTCCCCTTAAAACTTTCTCAACCTAGACTACAAAGGTATCAAAATGCCACTCCATTCTTGGTATCTTTTCTCTATGGCAATGATTTTTTTTTTTTTTTTTTTTTTTTTCTGTTTCTGTTTGCAATTAGGGCTCAGCCATCCAGTGTGACGATACGTCTGTCACAGCTTCTCCCACTGTCATGTAGAGTCCACTCAACCTGAAAGACTCCAAGATTTTTGACTTATGAAGCTTGTCCATCACATTTCCAACAGGATTTACCAGCACAAGCTGCACAACAGTATAACAACCACTATCAGAACACCGCCAATATTTATAAAAATGATTTGGTGGAGTGAATTTCAAGATTTTATGAGATCGATTTCTTGACTCCGCTCACCTGAAGTGATTTTGTGTCCAGCATTTTCCTGAGTTCACATAGTGTGTCAATTCCACTCGTGTCTATGGCTGTCACAGCTGAACCACAAAATGTAAAATCTGTAAGCTCAATATCATCTCCTAATGTTGAAGTTGTGGTTTCACTAGGAAATAAACGTCGAGTCCAAGCAACTTACCGGTCATGTCCAAGATTATGTACTTCATCGTAGTTTCATTTTTTTCGTTAATCCTCTCTTCCTCCTCCCTAACCCATCTTAGTATCCTGAAATTTTTTTTAAAAATTGAACCGCCATAACTTGAAAAGAATTTGGGTCTAAAAAATTACAATTAGTCAATGTGAAACCAACCTTTCTTGTAGATATGTGGAATTGGCAAAGTAGATGGGAGACTCAACCGCTAGTATAAGAAATGAAGGCACTCTTAGGGCTTCTTTGTATCTGTTTAGATTTTGGTATATATGTGTTCCAGGAATGTTCCCTAAGACGACAGTGTTTGGCCTGGTGACATGCAAGAGAATCTTGAAAACCGAAACTCCGACCTGAATTTTGCAACCATTTGTGTCAAACACTCGCCAGATGATACAGTCACACCTATATATATATATATACGAAGATCAACACTAGCCAGTTTGGAACGAAAAGCTTACTGCAATGGCAAGGCCTAGTGGGACTGAAATGAACAGAACACCAAGAAATGAACACAAGGCAGCCAAAAAATCAAGCTTGTCGACTTTCCACAGCTTGTATGCAGCCTGGTAATCAATAAGTCCGATCACAGCAGTGATGATTATCGCGGCCAAGATGAGATTAGGAGTGTAATAGAACAGTGGCATTAGGAACAAGAGAGTCACGAGCACTGCTGCTGCCAATATTATGTTTGAAACAACTGTTTTTGCTCCCGCGTTGTAGTTCACAGCAGATCGCGAAAATGATCCTGTAAGATTAGTTAACAGTCAGTATCTATGGATCGCTGTTTAGATTAGAATAGATGAAAATCATAGTAGGATCATCACCCGTGGTAACATAGCACGAAGAGCAAGAACCAGCCATGTTCATAAGACCTATAGCCATCATTTCTTTGTTACCATCAACTTGGTAGTTTTGCAGAGCAGCAAATGTTCTCCCTACTGCAATTCCTTCCTGTAATACCAATAAGTCATTCGCGCGTAATTTCATACTTACGAAGGTCTATTAACGAGTGTTTGATTCAATAAAGATCTGAGTAGAAATGAAAGCTAGTTTTTTGAACAACTTACTGTGAGAGATAAGACTCCAGTTACTAGGCCAGTTTTGATAGCAAGAGATAGATAAGGGCCATGAAAATATAGCAAGTTTGATGAAGTTGGATTCAGACCCTTTGGCAACTGCCCAATCTGCACATGAAAATCACAAGTTAGAGAGCATGTTAGAAAGAGAATTTTCTAGGGTTTGCAGATGGAATTATATGGAAAACGTCGGGCTCGAATAATTGTTTCTTACAATGGAAATCCCTTGAACCTTTGATCTGAGTAGGGCGATCAGAAGGGTTGAGAGAATGACTGATGTCAATGGGGCAGCTGCTGAAATCCAGAAAAGTTTTGGCCTCTTCATGCTCTGTGTTAGTTACCCAAAAAATAGTACTCATAAATTAGAGGTAATTAAGAAACCTAAATCATTGTTTGGAGTTTTCGTAGGTACACTTACAATTTGCCTTGTTGATAACAAAAACACTAGAAAACTGAAACCCATTACCATTGTTTGCCAAGACCACTGCACAAGTCAAACTCAAATTTAGCATAATCAACATCTTGCCACTTCAGAAGTCAAGTTTAGCACAATACTCTCTCTCTCTCTCTCTCTCTCTCTCACACACACACACACACAATTCTGTTTAAAACTTAGTGGTGAGCTTTCAACTTCTCCCAAAAAGAGGTTGGTGCTCACTCTATATGAATCATTTAATAGCTGAATTGGTTAGACTAACCAAAAGGGTATATAGGCTACGTGTCACACCTCAAAAAAATTCACATCATTTAGTTAGCAATTTGAAAGCATTTTCCTTGCAGAAACTAGCATTTAAATCAAAACAGAGAACTGATTCTAAGAGGGTAACCAAACCAATATCCGATCCAAATCGACATTTTTCACCAATTAAATATTGTTACCTCATCTTTCTGCCTGAAAACAGAGGATATCACAGGAATGATTTGCATCTTGGTAGTGAAGTGAACAATCCCAAGTAGACCTTTTAACTGCTGCAATGATACTATGACTGCTGCACCAGCCATGAACCCAACAAGAGTTGCCTTGGACAGAAAATCAATAACAAACCCTAACCTGAAAATTCACCCAAAAACAAGTCAATCAGAAAAAATAAAATAAATATATTTAAAAAAAGTGCTCTTAGACTCGAATCGAGTGTGTTCTCATGAAGAAAAGTTCAAAATAACCGCGTAGAACAACATTCCAATACCTTAGGATACCCAAAGAAGCTTGAAATAAACCAGCAAAGAAGGTAGCAGTGAAAGCCAGTTGAAGATAGAGAATAGGCTCTTCAGCGTAAGAAACTGTTTCGCTCAGCATCGTGCCCATGACAAGAGATGCTATAGAGACTGGACCGACGCCAAGATGTCTAGAACTCCCAAGCACAGAATATATCAATGGCGGCACAAAGCTTGAATCTGCATAACACAAATCCAAGTATATATAATTTCCAGCGAAAAAGAAAACCAGAGCAATGAAGCAGAGTTATTGAGGTGTTAATAATACTCACAAAGTCCAATTATAGGTGGCAGATTAGCTAGCTTGGCATAACTAATTCCCTGCATTATTAAAAACAAAATCAGATCAAATAAAAGTAATATCGTATGTTTTTTCATAGCTGCAATTAACCCAATTAATATATGGATTTAAAAACAAAGAACCATTTAAAAGGCCAACATAAGTGTGATAGAACCCAAACTCATTTTAGAAAAACTCACACACACACACACAAACACACATAAAAAGAGCACAACTAGAACAACCCAAAAGAGGATAAATGCTAAATTTGTCAACTAACATGTATTATGTATATTATTACGTTAGATGACAAGAACACACACACACACACACACACACAGATGGAAGAAGAATTGAAGGTTTGTGTTACCTGGGGGATGGCAAGGCTGGCAATGGTGAGACCAGAGATGATGTCAGACTTCAAAAGGGTAAGATTATAATTAGGTCCCCATTGAAAAACAGGAAAGAAAAACTGAAGACCCAAAAACAATTTCTTGAGGAATGTTTGGTCCTTGAATCTGTGGAGTGGGTCATCTGGGAAGAAAATCTCAGAGAGTCTGTGTTTGAGTCTCTGAAGAGTGGTAGTGTGTGGTGGCAAACAAACTTGGTGTAGTTCCAGTGGTGGCAGTAGCACTTGTGTTGGGATTAGTGTGGCATTGGGTTCGTGGCTTGCATGGCCTGAGAAGTGTTCCACTCTGTTTGAGTTTATACCCATCTCTGCATCAAAACCCAAATTCTCACAGTGCTTGTATCTGAATGTAGAGAGAGACTGTGTGTGTGTGTGAGAGAGAGACACGGAGATTTGGGTTTACAGTTGAAAGCAGTTGCTGGCATTTCTCAAGGAACATCATACCCTTTTTATACTGCTGTACTTTAATCCCACACCATAATAAATAAATAAAAAATAAAAATAATTACAGTTGCGCCGAGTCACTGTATGCAGATATTATTCATTTTATACATTCTTCGAACTCAAGATTTTCATAACGCATTTAAAGTGTCCACACATATGACATATACGAACAATCATTTGCCAAACTTTTATGAATTTGTGCACGCTCTTTCATAGAATTAATTCTGATATTGTTGTATTGTCCGTTTTGCACTCTCAAACCACCTCAGTGAGCGGTGCTATTTGAAAATGTAGAATTTGATTTCCTATATCAATCAATCACTTGTTGAGTTAATCCCCACACCAAAATAATAAATAAATAAACAAAATCACTACGCGGAGTACTACTGTTTGAAAATGTGGGATGAATCTGAATTCCCACACCAAGCTATCACTTGTTGAGCACTTTCCCTATCCTTGAAGAAAGGAGAAAAGGATGGATAGTTGATTATTGTTCATTATTAGATAGTGAATTTCTGCTTTGTTTTAGTACTATATTTCTTGCTTCTCATCTCTTTCATGTTATTTTCTAAAAACTAAAAAGTTGCATTATTATTATTTTTACAATTTTAAGACGAGTATAGTTACACTAATGATAACGCATCTTTCTTGGCCTTCAATAAATGATGTGTCATTTTGTGAAGCTACATATCACCTCATAAATTGCTTGTAACAAAAGGTTATACATGAGCATAAACATATATATATATATATATCATCCATCACAAAATCCTCCTAACTTTTCCCTTCTTTTCTTTTCTTTTCTTTTCTTTTCCTCTGTTCATGAGTTAGTCCTTCAATATTGCTCTTTTTCATGCTGAGACGTGGAGTGACACATCTATACGTTGCAGTTTTTAAGACGAAAACGAATGCTAAATGTTTTATGAATTAACGGCTTGATTTAAGCTTAAAAAATAGTGAACTATTTGAATTGATTATAGAGTAGGTGATACATATCTCGAATTATTCGCATCTCCGTGTTAATTCTAAAAATGATGTCATCAAAATATCTCTTAGTTATATTCGATTGCATGAAAATCGAGCATTAAAATTTGAATTAGTGAAATTAAAGAAAAAATTAATTTAACTCCATGTAACCGAACATAAACCTTGTAAATTTCACAATTATATATCTCTATAACATCTAAATCTATAGCATATATATCTCTTGGATCAAACATTTTTTTAGATTGACTTTATCCAAAATTTCAGAACTTTTTATTTCTATAACATCTAAATCTGGTATGAAATTAAATATAAAATCTAAGGGTAAAATTTCAGGTAAATTTTGCCCTTTTGTCTAGCTATAATTTGCATTAAACACTTTAAATTGGCTTTATAAAAAATAGTCTCTTAATCGATAAATGAAAACTAGTATTTTCAATCCCTATCATCGTTGAGTAGACTTACACCAGAAAGGACATCGACTGGAGTCTGAATTTGAGAGAAGTTGTGATGAGGGAAGAAAGAAAAGATGAAGATGGAGTTGCAACTTTTTTAATATCCACATCCGCGAAAGGAAAAAATGGAAAAAAAGAAAGGGACAATGGCCAATAATTAAACTGCCCGTCCTTTACTTGTTTTTATTTACAATTCAAAGGTTGACATATCAAACCATTCTCAACCAAACCATGCAGATGCCTCTCGATTACTTAGTGTGTTAGTGCATAAACCAAAAAAAAAAATCCGATCTCCCAGTCGCTGTATGATGATAGAGCTCACCTGATAAATGATTCTAAGGCTGAGAGACTCCGGATACTCTCAAAATACTGTAGAACTTCTCATTTAATGAATTATAAGAAACAACCTTTTTGCTTCATTTGCATTTTGCAAGTACAATTGAAAACGTTTTTTCAATTAAAGTTTTCTAATAATAAACTTGAATTTCAAAATTTTCGGAATGTAAACAACACGATTCAGGATTAAGCGTTTATCTGATTAAGCGCGTTTGATAAAGCAATAGGATAAACGGTCACTTATCTTAATGCTTAATGCTGAAATACTAAAAATTAAAAAAAGATACAAATAAAAAGTAAAATTATTAGCGCCAATTAAAATGGAGTAAAATTTTAAGTGACAACATTACTTATTTTATTGCAGAACACTACAAATTAAAAAATTAAAAATAAAAATAATTAATTACAATTTAAAAACTTCAGCTCTTAAAACTTTTGAACTTAATTTTCAATTTTATATATCAAACAGCACCATAGTCTAATAGTATAACTCTTGGGTTTGAATACACACACATACAACTAAATTTATGTAAGAAATGATGTCATGTTAATATCATCATATTTAATGATGTCATCCTTCACTTACATAAAATAGTTTTATGTATCTGACTTTCAGCCTATTAATCATTATTCAAATAAAAAATAAAATTGGTATCGGTATCTTTTTTGCTTGAAGAGAATGTGCTAAAATTGTGCCATGGCACATGCTCAGTTGGCCAATTTACACCAGCCAATTCAAATTGATACCCTCGTGAACCTTTTTCCCTTTTTTGGGAAAATTAGTCGTTTAACAGCTAATAAAATCATGTGAAAACTAACATATCCTCTAAATAAATGTAACCCCTCATGAACCAAAGAAACAAGAAATATATGCAACTCTCATTGTATATTTAATTTAATTTAATTTATTAATACGCCCTCCTTTTTAATCCTTCATTACTTTACAAGCATACATAGTATGATATTCTCAGACTCGTCTTATACTATTTATGTAATACAACAAACATAAAAAGTTGAATTTTATTGCTTAAGACTCAAGTGGAGAATCAAACTGGTCTAAAGTTTGAAATATCGAGCATCTTTAATTTGCCTTCCTGCAAAATGCATGACGCGAGGAGCAATCTTTTATTGTGGAAGAATATCTTTATTATTTTTTATAGGCACGCGAGCCCAGTACTTTTTTTTCTATTTTTTTCCATACGAAAGAACTAAAAATAGATGCGACAATCATCGTGTCAAACAAGTCCAGATAATATGATCTCTCTTTCTAAAAGGGAAGAGGAGAGATCAAACCCGTTATTTTCCTTGATGATAAAAAATAATCTCACCATCTGTCTAAGGTATTATATAGTCGCTTTTTTCTATTAAAAAGATGTGCTTGCTTTAACTTTTTGAGAAAAAATAAAAAATATATATATAAAAATGACAAGGACATGCTCCCATATGCAGCGAAGAAATTTTTATGGTGGCAAAGTGGATGGACAATGTAAATCTGATCAGAATTACTCTTCTCTGGTACAAATAATGAAGAATATTCTTTTCTATAGGACAAAATTAATTTCTGTTTTTGTTGAAGAATTAAAAGATGAAAAAGGTAGACATGGTGTGCCATTGCAAGGAATTAGCTAGCTTGAATATTGTGATAATATATAGTACTTGATAGTCAAATTTTTTATCGGTGAGGTTTTGGACAGCTCATTGATTCTTTATTATGTTAAAAACAGAGAATAGTATGGCTCATTTTTAAGGAATTTGCAGAGATTGAGAGCATCTTAATTTGCATGGCACATTTTGTTAGCACGCTTTCTACTAGTTGAGGTCAACTTGTATCGAATCTCGTCAAATTACTGCGGCTTCTTTTCGCCTCAATCACTGAACCAAAATGTGTGAGGTGACTACTCTGAAATAATTTTTTTTTTGAAAAAACGATGGTACATGATCGTTATCACTGAAATCAATGGTCCACTTCCACACGATTTGGTTTATGACTTCAAAAAATAGTTTTATTCTTTTCTTTTTCAGAAAAAACAGGGAAGTACTCAAACAAGCAAAGCACACACTTTACTCACGTTGGAGTTCGAAACCCACTTGTCCTCTTTGAAAATACGAAGTTATGTTATTGGGTTAATACTAATGGGTGAGTAATTTATCGGTAATAATTTTATACCTCTCAACGAGAAGTAAGAGGTTCAAATCTTATAAGAGATAAGTGTCATTGGATTAATGGTCAGTCGGATAAGAAAAATAAGAAATGATATAAAAAATAGAATAAATTGCACTGATACTCTCTAAGGTTTGGATCAACGTCACGCAACGGACGGTCAATGCACTTGTTTACATTGACACTCCTTGAGGTTTGAAAAGTTTGTAGACACACCCTTTCATACTATTGTAGTATCAAAAAATGACCAGCATACCCTTTAACTTCTCAACAACTACTAGTAAAATGACCCATTTAACCTTTTTCACTAATGCCAAAACCCAGACCACCACCGCCACCACAACCGCTACCACAACACCAACCACACACACACCACCATAACCACGGGCACACCCACACACACACCCACACCACCAAGACGAACCAACCACAACCACCGCCACACCCACACACACACCACCACAACCACAACCATACCCACACACATACCACACCAAGACAAACCCATTCTCACTCTATAGCAGCAGCGCCATCATCGACACCAAGACGAATCCATTCTCGCTCAAGGTCGGACTCGCCCACGCGAAGCAATTGTCGAAGTCACCAACTTCGACCAGACCAAGATCACCGAATCCACCGCCACCACAACACCTTAACGTCGCTAGACATCACCACCGTCACTTGACGCCATCGATTCCAGTAACTGGGTTGAGTGAATCAGGCGTGACGGTGGCTCATCCAATGGCAACGGTTTCTCTTCGACGACGGGTTCGATCAAGACGTTCTCAACGCGTTGACGCTTTAGATCGGGGAGAGGGAATTGGCGATTCCTTGAGACGGCTCGCCGTTGGGGACGTCAGCTAGCAAATGACTCACCATCGCCACCACCACCCGACCACCACATCTTCACAGTGATGAAGGTATCGTTGCCGCCGCTGCTCTTCCTCTGTAGAGATGACATGAGAGTTGGTGTCGATGAGGTGGTATTGAAGAGCTGATGTAATTGAAATGCTCTTCCTCCGGAGAGATG